GTGTGGCGCCTCAGGGAGGTGTCGACTCGCAGTATTTGATCAAACTCCAGAATCAATTGGCCAAGGCCGTCAAGAAAATGGAAGGCACCACGGCCAAAATGACGCAGATTGAAAATTCGTGCGATCAAGTGGTCAATTCGCTGCGATCGGAAATTGCCGATATCGTCGAAGATCGTTGTCGCACCGAATTGGAGCTCCGCAAACAATTGGAGGTGCTCAAGGAAAAAACCCGCGAGTTGCAGGCCGAATACGACGAACGAATCAAGGAGAATCAAAAGACGCTCGAGTCGCTCAAAACCAAGGCCGAAGCCGTGGTGCCGTTGGAAGAATTGGAGGCCGAAATGGACGAAACCTATGCTCGTTTGTATGAATTGAAGCGAATTCACGAAACTCAGGCGACCACGTTGGAGCAGTTGGATACCAATCTCAAGGCGCGACGACAACCGATTTAGACGGCACGGCGAGTTATGAAAAGTCAGCAGTGAGATCGTTTTAATACGTGTCATGGCAACGCAAAGGATATATTACGGATGCAGACGCCATGCTATGATACCAGGATCAGAGGCGCTCACTGCTGTGGCGGAAATGGCGATCGTAGAGCCATGGTTTTTGTGATCGATGGGGAAGCAACCACCAATTTGCTTACAAACCAACTAACAATTTTCTTAGTTAGTTAGATGTACATGTTTTCGTGCGGATCTTAAATCAAAAAGACTCACTCCATCTATAGAACGCTGTTTCTAGCTATTGATATACAGGGAAGGCCCCGTGTGTCTATGTCACCCCTTGCCAGTTTCACTGCAAGTGAAGAAGTGGAAGGAGAGTCTGATACAGGAGAAAGGCAGGCGGAGGAAAAGTTGGACACTGCTGATGATGAGGAAATTGACAATTAGGTAGATCACAGCTTTTTTATTTAAGTTTAGGCATGCATGTCATCACATGGACTTCTTGCAAGCCACTTGACAAAAGCTGGCAAATTGACTTGGTTGTGCACACACTCTTTACAGCCATTGGCTCCGTTTGTAGATTAGAGGTGTGTTGTCTGTAGCCCAACCACCTGCCAGAGGAAACATCATCAGAAGGGCTAGCTAGAGAGTATCAACAGCTAGATAATTATCGAAGAAGGGAACTGAACTGCAGATGTATCTCTCCAGCAACTCGATACACTAGTCTTCAAGGGTGGTTTCGTCGAGTTAACAAAAAAAAACGGAGAAGAATGTGGCTGGTAGTGGTTGACCAACATGATTGGAACACAGGTCCTTGAGATATTAGTGTCCTTCGTCAAGAAACCCAGGGCAGCCATTGTCACGCAGCCACTGGATCACGTCGCTTTGGTCATACCTGCAGGCAGCATGATATGTCGCAAAACTCCACGGACAACGATTTTCACGTGCCCACTTTAAAATTTCCAAATGGCCACCTACAACAGCATGCCAGCATGTCATCTCATCCCAAGTACAACCATTTGCACGAGCCCACTTCAGAACTTCCAAATGTCCACCTGCAGCAGCTTCAGCGCATGTCTCTGCATTCCATGGACAACCATTTTCACCAACCAACTTCAAAAGTTCCAAATGTCCACCTGCAGCAGCTTTCTAAAGTGCACGTCTCTGCATTCCATGGACAACCATTTGCACGAGCCCACTTTAAAATCTCCAAATGTCCATCTTTGAGCAGCTTGAGTACATGTCCACTTATCCCAAGGACAGCCATTCTCTCTTAACCATTGGAGCATTTCCAAATGTCCATTCTTAGCAGCATGCCAGCATGTCGTCTCATCCCATGCGAATCGTTGTTGTTGTGCCCATTTCATGACAGTCAGATTTCCAACTGTAGCAATTGCATTACAAACATCACAATGGTCAGGTTTTTTGTTGCTGGACTTGTCCTTTAGCCAGTACTCTGCACGTGGCTGGTTACAGAATGTTTTACTGCAAAGAGTGTCGGTGCTTTCTGCAGAGCGACTGGGACAATACGTTCCAGGGCGATCTTTTACTGTTGCTGGATTTTTCTTGAGCTCAACTTTGCAGTACTCTTTGTACAGTTTATTCATCTTCTTTTTGACAGCTGCTATAAAAGCGTACTGTCCAACACCAACAAATGGGAGAATGCCATGGATCAAAAGATCACCACCGTCAGCCAACAGAAGAGAATCAAAGGGAGGAGACATTTTCTGTTTCTTATTGGGTTCGACACTGCTATTGTTGGCAGCGGCACCAGTACTAGCACCAGTACTGGTACCAATATGAGTAGCAATGCTATCAAAAGACATGCTCAACAATCAGATTGGCTGTACGCTTCGGTGGCTAATAGCTATCTTGGCTATGGTCGCCAATGCTCCTGTGGCAAGCAAGGGTTCGGAAACTTCGGAAGCAAAAACTAAAAGGAAGAAAGAAGCGTGACTCGTGTTAGCCCTAGCCCTACTTTCAGAAAATCTGGTTTAACGCTTGCCAAAATTACTTAAAAGGCGAATGTAGCCACAGTAGATTATTTAGGATTGACGGTTTGATGGCGCGCACGAAAATGACCTCCATTCCCTGACCAGTTCATTGCCATTTGCCATTCTCATCACAAACAGTCAAACCACCATCAGCTTCCCCATCCGAGCTCACGAAAAGCTGAGCTGTTGCTTCCGAACAGCAACACCATCCAAGGAAACGGCAACACAACATTGTATTGTCTTTCATCACCATGATGATGACTCCTCGAGCTGCCTCTGCTGAAATGGCGTCTGTTGCCAAGCCGGAAATGGCATTCACTCCGCAAAGAAAACCTCTACAGCTGCACTCCTTACCCAACAGCAAGGCAGGCACTCCCAGTGGTATCAGTCACAAGGCCACCGATGAGACTCTGTCGACGACCAATTGCGATGATAGTTTGACGGCATCCGTCAACATGTCGGCCACACGGTTGTACGCTCCACCCGTGTTTGCAGTCAATGTAGACAAGAGAAATGTCCGGCAGCGACTGCGAGACCAAGAAGCCAAGATTGCCGCTTTGTTGCAAACGTCCAAGTCCAGTACATCACCCACAGCATCAGTTTCAGCAGGAACCGAAACGTCGTCTCCCCACGCAGGTGCCTCGGACGAAATTCTCTTAAAGCTGGTCCAAGCGCTGGAACAAGATCTCAAAAAGGTAGAAGGGGAAAAGAATGAATTGAAAGAACAACTTGCACAAGTGGAAAAGCAAAAAGCCACCATTGACGAAGATGAGGACATTGATTCCATGAAAGACGTGGAAGTAGTAGCGTCCTTGAAAGAAGTAGAAGTCGTTGCTGCGCAAGACGATGACACGACAACAGTTACTGCTCTCAAAGACGAAATGGCACGGCTCAAACTGGAATTGCGTCGAAAGACACACGAATCCTTGCTGTTGCAGGATCGATGGGAGAACACCTTGCAGCGCATGGTACAATACCAGATTGATTTGGAAACGCACGATGTGCATTACACTGATTATGCCACGCGACAATTCCAGTTGGGGAATGAAGCCCTCCAAGAAATCAAGGAGATGACCAAGAAAGATCAACCTCCGGAGACGAGACAACTGGGAAAACAGGCCAAACACATGATGTCGACATTGCTCAAAGATCTGGAAGTCATGGGAGAACGCTACCAAGAATCTCGAGTCAATCAAGAAGTGCAGTTGGCTCATTGGAAACAGAAACAACTGGAGTGGCAACACAAGGCCGAAGTGCTGGAAGAAACTCTGCAAGAATACAACATTGAGATACCTGAAAATGTCGCTTCCATTACGGCTCCTTCCATGTCGGGTCCTTTAATGAAGTTCCACGAAAAACTACGCCTGCAACAAACGGCTGCGATGCAATCTCATGATGATTTGTACGCCCAATCCCAAGCGGCTAAACAGGAAGCCGAAGCCGCGCAATTGGAACGCAGCGTCTTGCAAGAAGAAGTCAAGCGATTGCAACAGACAGTCACACAGCTGCAATCTTTGACACGGCAACAACAAGACACATTGCAAGAAGCCGCTGCAGCCGCCGCGGCAGCCGTATCGGCAGCAGCGGCGGATTCGAAGAAGAAAAAGAACTGGAATCCGTTTGGCAAAAAGAAAAAGCAGGACAAACCACCGCCGCCTCCGGTCGTCATTCCACCGCCTTTGGTCAACCTCACAGCTTCCTTGGCACCCATGCAAGGAGAATCGACCCGCTTTGAAGAGTTGCAAGGACAAGTCCAGAGTCAGTCGGAAGCATTCAAACAGCTGCATGAGGCGTTCCAGAAACAAGCGAAACAGAACGCTCAATTGCAACAGACCATAACAGACTTGAGAATGGAACAGCACGCGGCAGCAGCCAAGGAAGAAAATCGTGCCCTCAACGATCTTCAAGCCCTGTTTGATGACCTGCAACTCCAGCGACGCAAGGAGCAGATGGCAGCAGAAGCCGAACTCGAACAAATTCGGTCGCAGCTGGGCACCTTGAACAAACCAAATATCTGAGCTAGGTTTGGTTCGTACGGCCGTGAATGGCGGGGGCTGGTCATCGGGTAGAGGTTGCCTGTGGCCTGTTATGCAGCCTTCCCTCGGAGAGGCTGTTTGGCTTTATGGACGGTTGACCGAATGATTTGTGTCTATGTTTTTGAAGAATGGTCGGTCAATCGTAGCCAAAAAGAAAGCCCATCAATACATCTATTTTGTGGGTGGGATAAATCCTACATGTTGTAACTTGACAACTTTTGTATTTCTTTGTCCCCACAATACTGGCTAGAAAGGCTGAAAAGCATCGTAGTGTCGATGTCGTCTACCATGGTGCTGTGAAGCGATGCTGTGAAACGATACCGGACCTGGCACTATTTTAGCTCGCTTCCTCTAGACATCGGAGCCGACCCGGGCTACGGGGTGATTGTGTGTTAACGGTCCTTGCCGGTTCCGTAAAGCTTGCCAACATGGGATCCCAATTGCTACTCGTTGATGGCCGTCAAAGCCCTCAACTTCTGACCGTATTGCATGGTCTGCAACTCGCTACCGTAGGATGCAAGTTTCAAACTCTGTGCGATGAAACAATAAAATGCGAAGGTACTAGCTGGGATTTTTTAACTGCCAATAGCTACAACGTACCGGTACGGTGGAGTGAAAGAGAGTGGACGATTTCGCTATTTATTTTATCAACGGAAACAGGGCGATTTGACCCATACCGGTACCATGTAGGCTAGGACGGACTACATGTAGTTTACATCATCCAGTTGCTTATTGTCGACACTCAAAAGCCGCTGGTTGAGAATGAAAATGAGAAAATGGCGGATATCTCAAGCAGATGCATGTATTCCGAGTGCTTTAAAAAGAAGATTGTGGGAGTGAGGTTGAGAAAGTGAATCTAATTGTTCTCCATAGATTCGAAGCGAATATTTGCGAATTGATTACTGGCTGTCAGTAGACTCATCTTCCGTGGCTTCATTGGCACCGTTGTCCCCGGCCGGTGGTTTGTCGTCGCCATCTACATCGATGCCCTTTTCGAGTTTTTCAATTTTCTCCTTCTGGGCTTCGACCTCCTTTTGCAGCCTTGCTATTTCATCATTTCGCTCCTTCAATTCCTTCTTCAACAGTTCCTTTTCTTCCTCCTCCTCTTCATCAACTTCGGAATCACTATCGCTGTCGCTTTCGTGATCTTCTAGTTTTTCCTCCAAATCCACTATTTGCTCTTGGAGTTTTTCCAATTTTTGTTTCATATTCTCCTCAACGTCTCTCCGAGAATTGTCCGTCATGACGAGTTCGTTCATGCATTGCAGTTCGATATTTGTCTTTTCGTCTATGGTTCGATTGACGGCGTCCTTGAGGGACTTGATTAATTCGTCGCAGGTTGCCTTGACGAGTTCCGTTTGGTTCTCCATGATTCCCATGGAGTGCATGCATTTACAGAGCTGTGCTTGCATTCTCATCACGTAGGAACTGTCCGTGGCGTCGGTAACTTTGGCGGCGCCCTTCTTGATGACTTCGGCATAGAGCTGCAAGGAGTCCCCTTGTTGCTTTTTGAGGTCTTCTTGCAGGCGTCCCAATGCGCGTTCACCAATCTCTCGGTCCTCCATGAGTCTTGTCAACTCTTCCATGTGTTGTATTTCCGACTCTTCGCGACGCTTTTTTATATCCACCAGTTCTACTTGGAATCTCGCCATCTTCTCGTGTTGCTCCTCCATCTTGTTCTTGATCGAGGCAATCCTTCGATCGCGATCGTGGATCATCTGGTTCAACAGCTCCTTCTCCATCGTGGTGGTGAATTATTGACTTTTTGAGAAAGAGGGGATGTGACACTGGTGGTGTAAAGTTCGTTACTCCTTCCAGAGTACAGACTAGACTAGGTGCTACGGGTAGATAGACGACAACGTGGCCAGGGGGTTGTTTGGTTGAACTTGTAAAAGGATGGGTTGCGGTGCTCCTTTACACTTGTTTGTTTCGCTGCACCAAGAGGACGACGAATGAGGGATCATTGCCCAGTCCACCACGCTCCTTCAATGTGGTGAGGTGCTTGCGTGGGTTACTGCGATGTTAAAGCTTTGAGTTACGCCACCGGCCGAGGCAATCACTCCCACTTTGTCTTCGAAATTTCAAGGGAGGCCGCCTTCGCGTTGGTGCATCTCGCAAAAGGGGGTGACTGGTACCGGGCTCATTAATTTTGCGTATGCGTATGCGTTTGCGCGACTATGCACTAGTAGTACAAAACATGCAAACTTTCACTATGACCAAAATTGTATTAAACTTAAACCAGCTAAAGAGTTATTACTAAATGATATAGTTACTTTGACTCCTTGGTAGACTTCTTTGTGGATGTTGTGTTAATTTCACCAATAACTTGTAACATATATAAATGCTGATGTTGTAGCCATCTTCGATACGCTTCCGCATTTTGCGGTACTGGTGGTAAACCTCGATTATCATCCCTCTGTCTTCTCTGATCGTCTGACATTATTGTACCTATGAGCAAAAATGAGCACAGCAAACAATGATCTCCTTGTATTTACAGACAGAGTAGTGTGTGATTGCAACCACTGCTGATACAGAGAGACCCTTCAGGAGGCCCTAACTGGCTTTAGCACCTGGATTTATCTACAGCCGCTTTTAAAAGCTAAGCAATGCAGTTGTATTGGAAACTGAGTGAAACTGTTGTTGCTGCAGGAGACATGTTGCCATTCAGTTGGTCAATGCATTGAAACCTTCACCACGATTTGCTAAAATGCAAGGTAAAGTGTACCGTTAAATAAAAACATACTACCACGATTTTCTATCCTGCAAGGTAAAGTGTGCCGTTAAATACAAACACACTACCACAACCAGCTTACCAGAGAAATGCACTGCGCCTTTAAATAAACACACTTGAACACACCAATTTACCTGTTGCAAAGAATCTGCCACTTTTAAAAATAAACACACCAAAACATACCAAGGAACACACCAAGGTACACACCAAGGTACACACCAAATTCGCAACAACCACTGGTACCAGTATCTGGTAGTGGTACTACTCTACTAACAAGTACTATTAATAGTCCACTTCGGATTATTCGTCCTTCTCCACGTGCATTACCATACTGGTACTCGCTAGCTAGAGTTACTAAAGAACAGCTGACAGTGGTTTGATTTTCTTTACGCTGAGACGGTAGGTTTGCGTGGCTAAACATACAAGCAACGTCCTATAGAACCAACACAGCAAGATCTGATCAATAGAATTCTGGAGGGACCACCATGTACAAAGACAGGTAGAGTCTTCTGGGGTTGTCGAATGGTGGAGCCAGATGGCAGGCCATTCAATCAGTGTCCTCGTTGTACTAAGAACGGTTAATACCTGCTCTTTTTGTTCCTAAAATTGCTTTCAAAAGGCTTGGCCAGAACACAAAAAGTGGCATCAAGAGGTTGCACAGAGCTTTGAGAATGATGCTGCTGATTGGCTATTGTCTGGAATGGTGGAACCCCTTGATAGGGAAGAGAAATCTGAGTACATTGATCTCGTTTCTACAGCAGATCGGAGAGTTTTGGCAGGTGACATCAAAGGTGCGAAGAAAGACCTTCAAAAAGCAATCAAACTAGAACCAAGGAAACCAGTCGCCTTTCGTAGACTTGGTTTGTGCTTTGAAGTATCAGGACAAAAAAATGAAGGTCTTTCATGTTATTGGGAAACAGAAGGATGGCATGGAGAATTCTGTCAGCTCTTCTTGTCGTAAGTTGCTGCACTGATTTGGAAGTCGCCAAATCCATTAATCAGGACATCCATCTGGACATGATGAAATGGGCACTTGGCATGCTTGCTATCACAATTGAATATGTTTTTGAGGATCTGAAGCTTCAGAAACCAAATTGGTGGTACCATAATGGGGTGCTGAAGCGAATCACAAATGTCCTACTCAATTTTTTCAGGGCCAACAGCACAAGCAAAAAGACAATATATCAGGCGTCTTTCATAAGAGCTTGTGCCCTGTTTGGTTTGATTTCCAAAGGTGAATATTGGATTTATTGGGCTCATTGTGATGAGTTCATCAACAGTTTGTCCGTGGAGTGCACAGCTACAGAGATGAAGGAAGCCAATACACTCTTCAAAGTGGTGATATCTGAAAAAAGTGAAGACTATGCTGAGGATGCCTATACAAGGGATGCACAACTGGCCGCTAAAATCACGACAATTGTTGAAGAAGCACGGAATTCTGGAGCTCTTCACTCTGTGATCCCGGAAAGAGGTACGGGTATCAGTGAAGCTGGCCTTTGGGTTGTCATACAGGACCTTGTGAGTCCCTCAGGCTTGGCAATGAACAACAAAATTGTTCTGGTCTGCATGGATGGGTTGGAAGATGGCAGAGTTGCTGTGAAAGTTGACGGAATCATCTCACCAAAGCGGATCAAACCCAGAAATCTACGGCTGTACCCAATGCCAGAGAACGTGGTGGCTCTCATTTCAAGCATGGAGGAGGTTGACCAGTGGAAGTATGTGAGAGTGATGATTGACTTGAATAAAACCAATCTGACATTTAAAAATATAGGCAATCGGCGATCAACATAATCTTCTTTTAACCACAATACCGAATTTTTGTGCTCCAAAACTGTGATCGGTGCCTCCAGTATGTCAGGGGTCAATACTGCATTTCATTGGCCTGCACCTTACAAGTGACTCGTGTAATTGGATTCATTCTCTTTTGTTGCTTCGAATTCAATTGACCATATCAACCAGGAGGATGCCTAGTGTTGTGAGTGGAGAAGAATTGGATCTTTAACAAGAAGCATCCAGGATTGACAATGGATTCTGTATGCAGACGGGAAGGCCCACCATATTGGCAATTCTAGCTAGTTAATTCGATCCCTCAGTTCTTCAGATATTGCTTCAAGGTTTCCTTGACTCTAATGAATGTTCTTGTCATAAAGTCATTGTGCTGTCGTATCAGGTCCATGTTGTCGCCTGTCGTGGAATCAATGTTTGCCCGCAATGAGGCCAACTCTTCCAGTTGTCTCGTCACGTGATCATTCAACAAATCCGCCGTGAATGGTTTGTATTTGACGTGATTCTCTTCTCTCGCTTGCAGAAATTCCTCTGGTTCTATCGGTTGCAAGATTTCGTACAAGACGGCATCCCACACATTTTGGGAGACGCTTCCGTCCGTGGCATCAAACACCATTTCGGGGATATTGTTGGAAAACTGATTGGTATCGGAATAAATAAGATGACTCCATACTTTGGGCATGGCGGTTTCGTCCGGAACGAATCCAAAAATGACGAGCAGCCGATGCGGATTGCTTTCCTGACCGTACGTAATGAACAAGTCCCTGTGATCAGCATCATCATCACCGTCCTTCTTGTCGTCGTCGTCTCCCATGTAGACAAACGTGATGGAATCTTCCTCGTCATGTACCATGGCGACATTGGGCGGATCTCGATGGTTGAACATGTCTCCAATGGGTACCAATTCGGACGTGGTTGGAATGCCCTCTTTGATGGGTGCCGTCTTCCAGAAGCGACTGCCCACAGCTTGAAACGCCCATTTTAGATCGTCGGCATCGTCGGGGTTGTTGTCGTCAATCTCTTGTAATGCCATGGCAGCTTGACAAAAGGCATCTAGCTGTGCATCTTGATACTCGGAGGCATACCGAGCGTAAAAGGGGAGACAGGCTTGTTCGGCTTTGGAAAATTGAGGAAATGTTTGGGGCATGGCAGCCAACCAAGGCGCCCAGCGATTATTGTTGTTGCTATTTTTGCATTCCTTGCGACACCGCAACAGTTGCAGCACAATCCAGAACTTTTCCAAATGAACCTGGTAGTTCCCCAGTGCCTTCATGGCATTTTCTAATTGCGCGGGCACCCATTCGGATTTTAGTTTGTCACAAATGACGGCAGCATCCAGAACCAAGGATCGAGGGACCTTCAAGAGGACCGTACCCCGAGGTAACGACTTGGTGAGCACCAGACCCCAATCTTCTTCTTGCTCCCCTTTGTCCGTTGTATACTGTTTCCATTCCAGACATTCGTGCATTACGATTCCCTCTTCTTTGGCCCATCTCGACAGTGCCACCACATCCCGTCCAGAACCTGCTTGAGAACAGTGAAGAGAAGAAATTGCCAGCAATAACGCAATCGCCTGCCGCACCTTCATTGTCATGATTGTAGACACGGCTCCTCCGCCTTCCCGCAAGAATAGTGGGCCGCTATCCACTTCTACTGGCTGGTTGGTCGCCAGCCTGCAACAAACCCTCCTCAAAAATCCGTATAACCGTTACGGTACCGTACAGTACCACTCAACGATACCAGTAGCGGTAGCACTATGCCATACGGTATGGCGCTGTGTTACTGTTCGGCCCGTGGGTTGGTACCAGTCTGGTACCACCTGGTGCTTGGTACACAGTAATCCACAGCACAGTTCTGGTAGAACGGGTATGTTCATGCTAAACGCAGCACTACCAGTACACTGTATGGGAGAACGGGCTGGTAGAACGGGTACTGGTACGACCATGCTAATCCGGATTAGTACAGTCGTACAGTTGTACGGTACCTTGCAGCCTGAGCTGGCTTGAAGTTTTAGAAATTACGTCACCTAAGATCTGTTTTTGGCTTTGAACGCGCATTTGCCTCAATACACTTGACTAAGGTCACGGTAAGATGTGCTCGAGCGAGACTTTCAAGAGTTATGTGGTGGTAAAATTAAAGAAATACTAATACTAGTAAAAGTAGTACCGGTACTTAGAGTACATGTATGTAGTCTACAGACGCGATTGCGAAGCTCACTGGTACTACTATTAATATGCTGCAACGCTAGTACTACTGTGCTGCTACATGTACTGGTACTAGCTAGCTAGTGGCAAGCTAACTAGCTAGAGGTATGGTACGGTACTGGTACCAGGGGGGTGGAGAAAACCAGTGCTTTACCAGTGCTTTCAGTCAAGGAGCCACTGCTGAACACTGCCAAGCAGGTACCTACTATTAATAGTACGGATAAATACATCTACGAAACTAATACGGTACTCAAAGATAATTGATCAAGTGCTCTTCTTGATCGTCTAAAAACCCCACTGGTACATTGTATGTACCACCAAATCCATTGTGCAGCATCTTTCGCTTGAGAATTGACATAGCAACGTCCGGAAACCCGCTACTGGAGCTGGTTTCACAAGTCGTCTCAATTTCACGTTTGTAGTATCATGTTTTCGTGAAACTACTGCTTTAAAATGCCAAAACAGTATTGAAATAGTTTACATAATTTTGAAATATACAAAAAAAAGCAATACAGAAACAATTAAAATAGTGATTTCTCCTATTTTGTATTTTGGTAGCTAGTATTAAATTTAATTGTGAAATTAAATTCAATTTCACTCTTGAGAAACTGTCAAAATCAAATTTATTTGATATCTTCAAACCGACTTTAAAACGCGACAACTACGCCAGTAGCTTGCTTTGTCTTTGTACCATGGTACCGTACTCGTCAGACGCGATTACCAAGCTGCATTGCAACAGCTTTTGCAACCGGTACAGTACGGTACAAATTGTACGTGTATGCTATCTTTTGAGAAATTCTAATCTCCCGCGAAACAGGAGCATGAGTATCTTCCAACCAAACGCGACAGCTGTTGCTCTAGCTAGCCGCTTGCTTTTGTCTTTGCAGCATCAACCATCACAAAAGAAGGCAAAGCAGCTTTGAAAATCATCATTCGAAGCCATTTGTATTTCAACCATGGCACCACCCATTGATGTTGCAGCCTACCAGCTCTCGGATAAACATCCACCGGATAAAGGGGATACCTATTCGTTTCCTCCGGAAGAGAATCTATGGTTGCAGTGCCATCAGGCCATCCTCGGTGAGGTCGAGAGCATGCAGAAGGCTCTGGAAGCTTTGGTGGAGAGACGCAAGACGACAGCCAAGAACGAGCCTCTGGAAGCATGGGTGGTGGACTGCCTCCACACCGTTTGGAGCGGACACCGTCAGTACCTGGAAGCGCACCATGAACATGAGGAAGTCCTCGTGGGCGAGATTGCCAAGAAACGATTTCAATGGCCCAAAGAGATCTCGTCAACCCACGATGACCTTGACAATATGTTCAAAGCCATCCATGACTTGATGGTGAACTTGCGGAGTGCTATGGAAACTCAGAACGGTCTCGAAGCTGACCAAGTGTTGGAGCGACTTTTGGAAAAATGGACAGGATACCAGAAAGAGTTAACGTTGCATATTGAATTGGAAGAAGCAACTATTGTTCCATTGGTCAGAGCTTACATGTCTCACAACGAAATGAACATGCTTATCTTCAAAATGATGTCGAATGTGCCCAAGAATGAGCTCGGGGCGATTGTCCACTACACTGGTGAAGAGCACATTCGGACTGTGACCATGCCCTATCAAAGAATGCCATCATTCCTTTGGAACTGGCTGTTGAAGCCTGCTGTGGACGCGTATCGCCTGACGTATGTGGCGAGCGCAGAGGCAGTGCGTCTCGGGATCCCAAAGCATTCCGAGCCCATGCCAGTGGGGTTGATTAGTCGTTTTTTCAAGGGCATAATGGGTTACTTTTCGGTTCCATTTTCGGTCCTTCAGAAGGTGTTGGCGACTCTTGCTGCTTCCAATCCAACAAAGGTGCTCAAGTCGGATTGAATGGGTAGTGTTCCTGTCTTGCGGGGAGCTACATTGTAGTTGCTTCGTTGAACTGTGGTTGATTTCCCCGATCAGGCCTTTGGCATGGCCTACTTATTTAGTTTTAACTGTTGCGTTTCTGGCTTCTCTAGCTAGATACGTTGTATGGATCATTCTTTGTAGTTCATGTCTCTCATACATGTACCGGTACCGGTGCGCCGTAGAACCGCTGTAACTACAGGTACGGTACCAGTACCGTTATCGGGTACGGCAGTACAGCTCCAGATAGAAGCACAAAAGTGAGAAAGCTACTTCTGGAGTCACCAGCGGAATTTTCCGGTTTGACCAAACCTGCCAGAGTTGCTAACTCCACGGCCATCAAATGGGGAAGCGGCTATCACATCCAATCTATGTATCCCCTATCTCATAGTATTCCCAGGTTGACTCTATTGGTTAAACTGCTATTGGTATCTCTGTCAGCAAACGTGATGCCTCTGTAAATGGAGGTTGGGATGCTTGCTGGATGAGCGAGGCTCTCCGTCCGCGGAGAAGGTGGTCATACAAATTACCCCGGCTGGCTTCCGTAGATAATTACCCTACTCTAAACCAGCTTTTTTTTTATATTTACCCCGTCCTCGGGAAGGCTTTTGAGGTTTTCCGGTCGTGCCTCTTTTTCCGGTGGTGACTCCAGGAGTACCGGTATCGTACGTCCGTAGAAAGTAAAGGCGCAAAAGTGAGAAAGTGAGCAACCCCTGGTGGAGGGGCATCTCGCTTGTCTTCTTCGTTTTTAGAAACATGGCTTCCACAGCTCTTCCGCGCACATCAAAACGCGATACGTCTTACTGCACCACAAACCTTTCAAGAATTGCTCCCCATAGCTTTCAACCAAACGCGACATCTAGCTAGCGAAGCTTGCTTGCTGTCTGTTTGTTTGTTCTAAAGGTGATCAAAAAGAAGGCAAAGTAGCTTCGAAAATCATTATTCGAAGAGCTATTCGAAGCTTCTTGTACCGTACACTTCGACCATGGCGCAATCAATTGATGTTGCTGCCTATCAGCTCTTGAAGAAGTATCCACCGGATAAAGGGAATACCTATTCGTTTCCCCCAGAAGAGAATCTATGGTTGCACAGCCATCAGGCCATCCTCGGTGAGGCGGAGAGCATGCGGAAGGCTCTGGAAGCCTTGGTGGAGAGACGCAAGACGACAGCCAAGAACGAGCCTCTGGAAGCATGGGTGGTGGACTGCCTCCACACCGTTTGGAGCGGACACCGTCAGTACCTGGAAGCGCACCATGAACATGAGGAAGTCACTGTGGGCGAGATTGCCAAGAAACGATTCCAATGGCCCAAAGAGATCTCGACAACCCACGCTGACATTGACAATATGTTCAAAGCCATCCAAGACTTGATGGTGAACTTGCGGAGTGCTATGGAAACTCAGAACGGTCTCGAAGCTGACCAAGTGTTGGAGCGACTTTTGGAAAAATGGACAGGATACCAGAAAGAGTTAACGTTGCATATTGAATTGGAAGAAGCAACTATTGTTCCATTGGTCAGAGCTTACATGTCTCACAACGAAATGAACATGCTAATATTCAAAATCATGTCCAATGTGCCGAAGAATGAGCTCGGGGCGATTGTCCACTACACTGGTGAAGAGCACATTCGGACTGTGAGCATGCCCTATCAAAGAATGCCATCATTCCTTTGGCAATGGCTTTTGAAGCCTGCTGTGGACTCGTATCGCCTGACATATGTTGCGAGTGCAGAGGCAGTGCGCCTCGGGATCCCAAAGCCTTCCGAGCCCAAGCCAGCGGGGTTGACCAGTCGTTTTTTCAAGGGCATGATGGCTTGCTTTTCATTTCCATTTTCAGTCCTTCAGAATGTGTTGACTACTCTCACTGCTTCCAATCCAACAAAGGCGCTCAAGTCGGATTGAATTGGTACAGTGTAGTTGTTTCTTGTGAGCAAGCGTATCTGCTTAGCTATTGTTGAACTGTGGCTGACTTCCCCATCTGTCCTTTGGCATGGCTGGTGCTGTATGAGCTCACCTGAGCCTACTTATTTAGTTTAGAAAGGTCTGTAATTTCTCGCTTCTAGCTTCGCAGTATTTTAAAATAGTAGCTCAGAGGCAGGCTCTTTACGACAAAGATTCCAGGTAGTTTGCGTCTCTGGTTCTGAGAGTGATTGTTCCAGCACCTGCAGAATGTGGACAGTATCCTTTTGGCCCTTCTCTCGTCAGAGTTACATCATTAGACAGTTTGGCACATTGTGTCAATGTACTTTCCTGAAGATTGTCAGCTACCGGTAGAGTCTGGCTTACCTTGGGCTACAACCTGCATACAAGAGCTGCTGGCGGTGGATGTACATGGTGCGTTTGTGCTGTCCACACCACGATGGAGAACCCTCCTCTGCACTTTCCACGCCACATCGAGACCGCAATCGCAAGCTGATTGGTGTCTGGATCGCGCGTGACCAAAACAAGAACCCCCAAAGCAGAAGCTTCGCGAAAAAATGAGGGGGGTCGTATCTTTGACCCCGCGTAGCCTCTGGTAAATCTTCTACGTGACCTTTGCGAAAGAACAATTACCGCTTCACTTGATGAAAGAAGCAAACGGTATCTTTGATGGTTGATGGTTGATGCTCCGTGCAGGCCAACACCGGTAGATACCGCTCCTCGCCATCATAAGGATTCCAATCTTCTTGACACCTCTGTCGAACCCAGCATCTTTCAGATTTGGACTCAAGGTTTGCTCGTTTCGAATTCTCATAAAACAGTCCAAGAAGAACAATCAAAGCAACGCAATCGAACATCCACCTGCCCCAATCTGTGTCCGTCAACATGCCGCAACTTACCCTCCACTCCAACGCTGTCAACCTTGCCCGACGTCTCAGCGTCCAGAACGAAAACGAGCTCACCGGAATGGTCAGTATTCAGCAAGTTTTTGTGTCCATGGGTTTTCTCTACATGATCTGTTCTCTCACGTGCCATTCGCTGGTTTGATACATGGCTTGCAGGAAGACTACCTCGGTGAGTGAAGGAGATTTCTCTTGGCCATGGGAAGCTGCTACCCCACCGTATCTTTTCCTCACTCGCCGCATTTTGCCTTGCCTTTGCTTCAGCCGAGCCGACCCAGTATTCCAAAACCGAGTGCCAAAACATGGCCACGCATATGCTTCATCCCAGCGCCCTTCCCGACCAGTGCAAGAAGTACCAAGATGTTGTCCAGTATTTGAAGAGGCATGACACCGATACTGCCCACCCCACTCAGTGGTTGAGCTAAGTGCGACACCATGTGAGCTGCTCGAATGCATGGATGCATTCTGTCAGGCTTCAGCCAACGATCTCGAGATATTGAAGAACAAGAAAGATGAAGGAGCAGCCAATATTGCGCTCTTGAATACTCAATTTTACATTTTGAAACAGCAACTTGCACTGCCGTGAGGATGATAAGGTTAGAAGATAAAGTCTTTACTAAGCTGTGACGTTTTGCAAGACCAAGCCTTACCATTAGCTCGCGCCTTTGTGTGCAACTTTAGTCTAGCGGTAGGCGATTTTGAGCTCCTCTTGGGGGAATACCCCCGGTATCACATGATGGACTTTGTGTGGATGAATATTCAAATGCCTCCGCTTGCACCTCAAGACCTTTTTCCCTCCAAGGCGTTACGAAACGCACCTCCAAGAGTCTTTGCTCTCTTTCAAACGAGTTGGGATAGGACTTCAGATTTTCGTTTGAATCCCACGAATTGCACTCCATCCATCCACATCGGTTCAAGGGGTACATTAGTCAAAACAGCCGCGCCACCACGGCATCGGCAGGCGCTCCACTTTGTTGAACGTGGTACAGCCGTACCGGTACAGCGAACCCCAGTTCCACGATTCTTCATACAACCATACTCCTAGCCAGCCGCATGGACGCTAACGAAGAGCAGCCGTGTTGGAAGCAACAGCTAGCTAGATTGTTGACATACAAAACATCCATTCATCGACATGGAGAGCCACCATGTTGGAGCAGACGAGCCCATGGTAATGGACAGCAGCACGAATGGTGAAGAGCGTCATGATAGCCAGGGAGGCGCAAGCGTCCACAACAACTCGGACACCACCGAGACTGTGTCCATCCTTGAGCGAACCAATTCGGCACAACAAGATCAAATCAAAGGGCTGCAACGGGAACTGAACGAGTTGCGAGTACAGCGTGGTGAAGAAGTCTATTGGTTGCGGCTGGAGTTGGATTCGTCGCGACGAGATAAGGAAGCTGTAGAGGATAGAATGTCGGAACTCTACCGTGAGATGCAAGAGCTTTTGGAAGCTCCTATCGACAAGAACGAAGGAGCTGAGGCAAACAATGGGACGGTGAAGGAAGTTTGCACTGAACCGGACTACGTCAGCGCCCTCCAGGATCGCCTTACAGCATATGAACGCTCTGTCGAGATATTGAACCGCCAGATTGAGATGATCAAGACGTCTTCGGACGTTGTTGTGGCCAGCATGAAACAAGAGGTCACAGACCTTATGGAAGAGAAAACGATAATGGAACGAGACATGTTGAATCAACTCTCAAGCTTGGACAATGACAAACGAAAAGTGGAAGTGGAACTAGCAGCTTCCCGGGCAGCCAAGCACTCAACAGTTAACGGTACAGCACAAATAATGCCCACGCAAAGCACTGACGTTGACACGGGTGTTGAAGCACTCGATGAAGATATTGAAAACTCCAACAAACTCCCGGAAGCTTTCAACGTTACACCAGCCAAGGGGGTACACGAGGAGTCCTTTCGCTCCACGGCAACAACTCAGGTGTCATCGTTTGTGGTTGATGGGTCTCATCATCCAGCCAGCTTCTTTTTCAAGGAGCATGATGAAGATTCTAAAGTGCAGCTCCTCCTTGAAAAGTCCCGCGAAGAAGTCGAAAGGTGGAAGGAGGAGGCCGAGACTTCCACAATGGACAACATCAAGCTCAAAGGTAAACTGGATGAAGTGACGAAGGAACTCATGTTCACCAGGTCGTCCGCAAATGTAGCTCTGGCATTGGACAGGATTGAAACCGACAGAGCAGAGACTTTGGCTCAGCTCGACCGCATCACTGTTCTGTGGGACCGAGCAGACAGTACTATTCAAGTCATGGAGGGCCTATTGTCAGAGTTTCAACCAAAGTCAGGCCAACCAGAGGACAACCCCACACTCCAGAATGACCGAGACAGACTGCTATCAACCCTGGAAACCGCTACGCTAGTCCATGGTCAGATCAAGATGTCATTGATGCTCATCGAGCTGTCCTTGCGCAACCACTTGACATGTATCCAAAACGACAACCTGCACATGCCACGCAGCGAGCAAATAGTGAGCCGGTTGGAAGACGTTCGCTCTGAAACGTTGTCTGCCATTGCAGCAGCGGAAGACAAGTGGACAGGTGCAGTGGAGGCTGTAGAGAAGCAGATCCTTTCGGAGAACCAAAGCATCAACGATTCCTTGAAGGTTCAACTCGGAGAACTTCAAAAGGCACAGGAACGCCACAGGTCGGTCCAAGTGGAATTGGAAGAGCTCAAGAATCAACCGCCGCCTCTGCAAACTGAAGCATCATCAGAGGCGAATTCGACTCAAGCTGTTACCCCCACTGCTGTTGCCACCGGTACTGATTTCGTTGCAGCTGATGACCATCAACCACCGAACAGTCAGAATGGCCAAGTGCAGTCGAATGGATTGATTGTGAGCCCTGGTACGATGGCCCGGTTGCAAAAGGAGATTTTGACTGTGGTGGCCTTAGTCCAAGAGAAGAATGAAGCCATTCGATTGTTGATGACTACCATTGACAAGCACCGACTCCGGGAGGAAGTCCTCAAGAAAGAGCTGAAGCGAGTGGCTCAAAAGTCCAGCAAGAAAATCAAGAGCAAAGATGCCAAAGTCCCAAAACCGCCCAAGTTGGATCTGATGAATATCCCTCATGCCAGCAAGGGCAAGGTGCATGTCGACTCGTCCAAGTCGGGGAGCGGCAAGTCTCCTCAAAAGAAGGTGCGGAAAAGTCAGAGGACCAACACAGCAGAACTAACCGTCATCTCCGGCGTTGTTGCCGAGGGGGGAAAAACCAGGAAGACCAAGTCTTCGCGTCTTGTGCCTTTCCTTGGGTCAGGATCGAACCGTGGTTGGTCGTCACTATAGATATGTAGTGAGCTATCACTGTACCGTATGAGCTAAGTTCTATATTAAAGTGAACAGCAGGAGTTTTTCAAACTTGGACGTTTTGCAACTTGGCAACGCGCACCTCTACACCTCTACAATTCTTGCTGGGGTTGCAGCAGTGGCCAATGATTTCGGTGCCACTGCTACAGGTGAGGTTGCCAGTTAGTTAGTCAACAACTATACCGGTATGTTACGTACGTTTCAGTGGATTGATCTGGCTAGCTAGTGGATTGAATCGAATCATTCGTTCTGGATACGTATCTGTCATGTTCCACACCCAAAGTTTCCTGCGGTCCGTACTTTTCCCTCCTTCTATGTACATGTAGCTGCAACGCAAATGGATTCGATTCTTTTCTCGCAAAAACTAAACTGTTGACTAATACCTACATTTAACATGATGAATGCGTTGATTGATCTAATGGATTCATTTCCTTCCTGATTCCTTGCAGCGGGGCAAATGAATCTGCAGCCATCTGGAGGAATGAATCTCGAACTGTACTACTCTTTCCCATCCATCCAAGTTGCTGGCAACGCGCATGGATTTTTCTCTCTTTTTCCTACAGCTTTTTTTGTTGGCTCGTTTTTTCGTTCATTCGCTGAAACACGAGTTCACACCAACCCTTGCACGGCAGGATTGTAGGACAATTCACATCCTTGCGTCAAATGGGCACCCAAGTCGTGTCCCTCATACGACCGGTACCCATCCGTGGCCGAGACGGGTCCACGGGCCTTGCCATCCAGAATATTGTAGTATGCCTCGGAGAAGGAGGGCATGCCCCCACTGTTACGTCTCTTGACGACAAAAAAAGCTCCCAAGACGACCAATAGAATGGACGTGTTCATCCAAATGCCGCGACTCTTCTTCTCGTTGCCACTGCCACTGCTTTTTTCTTTGGGAACATATGCTTTGGGCGTTGTATCTCCCTCGGTGGGTACGACACAGAGAATGGGAGCTTCGTGTTCGTTCACCATAACGCGGGCTTTTCCATACGTGTCAATACTGGACGTACCCGTGGTCCGGACCACGTAGCACTTGTTGTCATGGTTTTCTCCCGGAGGAACATCGGTGCCATCGTAAGTGACCATAAAGGAACTGGTGGGTTTGTTGAAAAAGACGGATGCCAAGGCTTCGTTGAAATCGTCCACGTTGTCGAATTGGTCCCCTACCGTCTTCATATCCAACAAAACCGCATCGTTTCCAAAATTCTTGCGGCAATTCTCATTCTTCAGATCCAAACTGGTGGCAAGAGTCATCGAGTAGGTCGTCGTGCGAAGGCGGTACCGGGCGGCACTGATGGCAGCCGGGGAGAGAAGCAGTATCGCCGCGACAAGAGAGTTCCGAAGCATCATCGTCATCATAGTGGTAGTGAATATTTATTATAGTGTCAAAGACAGCCGAGAAATTCGATTCCGGTTTTTGTGTGGGCCGCTAGGTAGCTGGAACGCAAATGATATCTCTGATAGCTCAAGGAAACTGTTCTCGTCGACCACGCTAGATAGCTACTGTATTAATAGCCAGATTCCTTCTCTCTCTCCAAAGTTAGTTGGGTGGCTTTTGTGGAAGAGCAACAGACGTGAGAAATAGATGATGATGTCGTGGGCAGTGGCCGGAAGTCCCGAGTTCTTTCTGATAGCCTGAAGATCCCAACCACATCAACCGTTGGAAAATGGTGACTGCACAAGCCGGTGATACTGCAATGCACCGCTACCAGGTACCGTATGGTGGCGAGGGGAGCCAACCATCGCAGGAAAAGTTATGGGATTTGTGGGTGTCCATCGTCGCAAATGGCTTCCTAATAAACAGGGAATTCAGTTCGAGGAGTCGCTACGCTACGTCCTCAATCCCCCCCTCTAGACAATCCCAAGCTAAAAGTAACTGGCTAAGGATTCATTGCTATGGTTTAAAAGAGCTAATACCCCCTCACTTTTTCCTCCTCCTCCTCTGCCTTCTCACAACCCATCACGGCGTGTATTCGCGCACTCCGGTTGCATAAGGTTGGAAAGACATCAAGTTGTCGCAACGCAGGGGTAAAATGTCCGAAAACGGCTTGCTATGTACCGGTAATACTTGACTAATTACTATATAGCCCCCCCCCGTTCAACGTTGTTCCACTCATAAAGCAGGGACTAGCACCACCAGCTCATCCCCCATGGTTGTCAATAGTTTGGTAAAGTCCTCCGTCCGAAGTGGTTTGACGGGTCGGTTTTCCGCTCTTCTTTGTGCACGCTCATAGTAAGGTAGCACTCGTGCCAGTAAAGCGTCGTGGTAGATGATATCATTGTTAGTGTCGTCATGGCCGTTGTGTTCATGATTGTCGAGCTGTGAATACTGGTGCCGCCGACGTCGCAATTGGACGAAGTGGTAGGTTGTTTCGGCCAAGACCACAAGATACGCCATTAGATTCATAATCACCCAAAACATATCCACGATAATGTCCTCTTGACGCCACTTCCATTTATCCAGGGTGGCGTAGGAATCCCACAGAAAGAACAGAGATACCAAAACATGAAGCATGGAAGCGGGTATGGAGAATTTCCAGCATTCCTTTCTCCCTTCCCCCACAATGGTGGCAACTCCCAAGAAAGTCTCCACAACCCAGATTATGGTGGTGGAAAAGTCGTAGACGAGATAAGATTGATCCGCCAATCGGAGAGCCTTTCTGGTATCGTCTGCCGCATAATTAGCCACCAGCAGCAAAAGATAGAGGGAGTACATCACCACAAAGGCATTGATAATCACCCACAAAAGAGGATTCTTTCCTGGGGTCAATTGCATCACAGCTTCCAATAGTAGACGTGGATCCAAGAGTGTATTGACCACCATGACTATGACAGATCGTATTCTTCTGTAGATGTACTGGAACACTTGGTGAATCAAAGCAGGATGCGGTATCTCTTCTCCTCTCTCCACTATATTGTTTGGCATGGCAAGAAGATAGGTAGAAGACGTGGATTCTTGAAAGCAAGAAGGACAACTCAAAAACCCAAGTGTCGGCGTGGAAGCAGTGACTTGGTGGTAGCATCGGCCGCATAGCAAGTGGCAACATGGCCTTAGCTCCACATAGCTCGATTCGCCTGCGCTTTGGGAACACTGGCAACAAGAGATCATCGTCCCACCACCACTTTGTTTTACGAGTATACAAAAGACGAGACAATCAGCCTCGGAATCGTGATGCTTCCATGACAGGGATACCCATGGTCGAGCACAAAACTGAAAACCTCCAAAAATTTTGTGATAATTTCCTTTACAAGATTGAAGGTTCCGGTTCAGTCATGATTGTTGAACCTACATGTAATTTCAGACCCACACTTGCTCCACTATACTCGCTGTAGCTGCACGTTACTAGTACTGATACTAGTAGTGCCGTAAGGATACAGTACAGTCGTACCTGGAAACCCAACTCTTATTAGCTTTGTTTGGGACTTACACTCTCCGGGTGTGGGTGATCTCTTCACCAACTTCAGCCGTTCCCCATGGTCAAAAATTTCTGGCACATACATTCCATCGGCCACTATTAATAGCGCAATAGCTAGTGTTTTGCATTGGTGGTGAAGCCCTCTACTATTTCTAATAAGATTGACTCGACTCAGCTCAGTCAGTGTCAGGGTCTCCTCGGAGCCTTCCGACTCAGGCGTTCCCTGTACTAACACCCCACTAATAATAAACCTCACTAAACTTCCTCTTCCCCATAACAAATCACAGTCCTACGCTGTACCACAGTTTCCATCAGCCACTTGCTGCACGCAAGCAAGCAGCCAATTGAGCGAAGCACGCAGCCGGCCGAGTCATCTGCTCTGTGCAGCCACACTTGGCTTGCTGTGTTTGGGTCCCAAACCTTCCCGGTGAAATTGCTCCCCCTTCAATCCCAGAGTTTTGAATGATTCGATTCGATTCAACGATTCAATCTCGCAGATACATGGAGCTACAGAGCTACAGTACAAATCACGCCTCCTTGTACCCCAGCTCGGACCTGCTCACTTGAAGCAGCCTATCACCACTAAGACTTGAAGTAAAGCCCACCCCAGCATCCGCTCTTCCACGGCCGGTATGGTAATGGGAACAATGATCCCAGCATCGCAAAGTAAAACCCCAGCAACCGCTCTTCCACGGCGCTACGACCCAGCTGGCTACATGTAACAATGGGAACAGTGACCCCAGCATCACAGCGCTCTACCGGTAGCCTCTACTAGCTAGCCTAGCGCTAGCTAGCTCGCAGTTTCCAGCCTGAGTGAGTCGAGTCGACCCTGGACTCGAGGAACTTCGCTTCAGTTCGAGTCAAGTCACTGTTCCCCTTTGATCCCATGTGACTCAGGGTCGAGTCCGACTTGACTGAAAAAGAGACCTTTGAGTCTTTGGGAACTGTAAACGAGGTCCCCTTTCACAACTCGTTGATTTATTCGAGGGAAATTGATTGCGAATCAATAAAGAACGAAGTAGTCCCGACTTACACACAGTGACCTGGCCTGTTTGTGCACTTAGGTGATAGTCTTCCCCTTTCCAATGTTGGTGGCAATGCCGGACTTTTTTCTTGCGGCCACTAAAAACATGTCTGTCCTACCATCTCTTTTACACAGTGTTAATACCATCAATAGTAGTCAAACTTCAAGCTTACAGATTGAGGTTCACCTGTTCAAGAGGACAACCGATGAGTGATCTTCCTTTAATCAAATCGATCCCGGAAGTGGCAACCGAGGTTTTGAAATCAAGGAAGGGCTTCTTTATGGCTTATACAAAGGTCACTCAAACTTTGTGAGGGTACAAAAAGAACGTTTTTGTGGGTCGCAGTTTAGCTGCACTTAAAGGATGAGGGTCTTATTCTGCAGTTGCCACAGAGTTCTCTTCTTCAGTAGCCTCATTCGTTTTCCCTCATAGCCTCATTCTCATTCGTGTTTTTAAGGTATTATCCCATGTTAAAATATACACTCTTTGCCGCTCCCTTTGCTTTGTTTGTTAGCCTTGGTTTGCTTCCCTTGGGCAAAGAAGCTCGATTGCTGACACTCGTTTCAGGCCGTGGCTCGCATTGTTTTTGAATCAGAAACTTGGATTACTGCCCTCTTGAAGTTGGCATCTATTCAAACACAGTTTATTTTCCATTGATTCATCGTACATGTAGTCGACTACCTTAGTTAAAGCATCCTTGGCCTACCACGTGTTGGTTGGCAACCCAAAGTACTCATAAGTTTACTGTGCGGTTCATTTCATCAAACGATGTGTTTAGAGGCGTCTTCATTGCCGTTTCTTTGGCTACTATCCTGTTGTTTGTCTGAGCCATTCGGTACCTAAGCCTGAGCAGCCTTTGCAAATTCTTGACTGAGAAAGAGTCCCAGCTATGGCAATACCAGTACTCATTCTCGGCCGGTAAGCAAGTTGAGAGCTGAGACGTGATGTAACCAGTCAAAGAGAACGCACAGTTGCTAACTGTGTGTTCGCTGAGGTGTTCATCAAGACCCACCGAGAATAAGAGAATATCCCCAAACACACACTGAGATACTGAGATGCATCCTTTCGAATCTCAATCAAGACGAGTCCCAGCGTGCGATGATGTGCTCAATCAAATTTTTCAATTATTCTGGCACCTCCCTCTCCGAAGTTCTCACAAATCCAATTACCCTCACAATCCAAAAACACAACAAGCTCACAAACACTCAATAGCTATCATCATGTCTCAACAACAACAACAACAACAATCTAACCTTTGGCAACAATGGGCCGCCAGTGCCCCCGAGAAGCGATCCACTTCCAGTCTGTTGGATGACGACGAAGACGAACAAGTCGAGAGCGTCATGCAACACATGCAGCTACCAGGAATGGCACCACGAGCCGATGAATGCGCCTTCTTGCCACCCTTCTCTTCTTCTCCTTCTTCTTTGCAACGAAGTGATACCCTGAGATCCGTGGAAAGCGGCGCACTCCCCATGGTCGCACTCCGAAGATGCAATCATTCATAAAAGAAGAGGAATTCAATCAATTCAATCAGCATGAATAAAACCAGCTACACCAGCACGCAATGAGCACGTCGCGACGACGCATGAGGCAGGGGCTGCCGCCATGGAGCAAGCGGCCCCTCCGTTTTTGTACAAACAGCCAGTCGAAAAAGAAACGCAGACTGCAACGAGCGCTTGTACATACAAATGCCGACGAGCCTACAGAGGCAACGCAAAACCAAATGCTAAGCTGAATTCCACAATGATAGAATGTTTATAAAACAAAATAGATTGCAAATTTTCAACGAAAACAACTACTATCTCTGCTATATCATATAATATCATGGAGAGCATCGTACGAACAGTTCCAACAAAAGAGCGCTAACGCTACAATCACGAGGGCTGAGAGGTCGTATGATCCCTTGCTATTTCAACGCCGTTTTGGCGCACCTTCTCATCGGTGAGCGCTTCGTCATGTCTCGTGGTGCTGGCTGGCTAGCTACCGGTAGTAGGTCCAGCAAGAAAAAGCAGCTACAAGGAGCAATTCTCCTTGGATTCGATTACGCTCCTGCATCTGCCAGAGCCAGTCAACTTGAGCAGGATTTCTTCCTTGCAACGCAACTACTCCAGTAAACAACCCAACTACTGGAGTACAGGTACTAGTGCGACAATTAGCTTCCCCTGGCTTTGCCTGTCACTGAAGAAGCATCGCGCTACTAGGCTAGTAGAGTCCTCGAAACAAAGAATAAGTTGGGAGCAAAAGATATTCCGGTGCCGCTTTCGGCTTCCCTCCTCTATGTGTAGCTACAGTAATAGGCTTAGGGTGACACAGTGCTCCTACCGATATCTACAGTGGTGCCAGCTTTGATTGCGAATCATTGATGCTGTCAACGCAAAGCCCAGTACCAGCCCTTGCTTGCAGCTTCACCTAAAACTGGAGGAGTCAAAACTACCAGGTACCGGTACGGTACCGAGCAAACTGCCACCAACCCTACCGGTACTAAATGTACCAGTTAAGCGCAGCTACTCCGGCGATGTTTTCAGCTTACACTCAAACTCCATCTTGGAGTCTACAAGCTACGGAGTTTAAAGCGACATCTGCTACCGGGTACGAGCTCGCCAGACCAAGCGACATCATCACAGGGTCCCATCCAGTGTCACTCCTAGCTTGGTTTTGCGCTGGGAGCAGTCAAGGTCCCAATATCTCGTACCGGTGAAGCAAGCTAGACTACTTGAGGCAAAAACTACCCTGCTGCTGCAGCTAGCTAGCAAACAGCCAGCCCCCGGTAGACCCCGGTCTACTCCGGCGATGTTTCAGCTTAACCATTCAAACTCTAAACTTGGAGTCGAGTCGGTCTACAAGCTACGGAGTACAAAGCGACACTGCTACGAGCTCCCAGAGCAAGCGACATCATCACAGGGTCCTGTCCAGAGGGTTTGTTGGTGCAGCAGGTTTGGTCAGTGGTTGGCTCATCGACGACCAAACTGTGAATGAACACCGATTACGTCGATTGTATCGATTGCGTCGACGTTTTACTCGATTGAATTCGAATTTGCCGAATATTCTGTGACGTCGATGACGTCTACTTCCTCCACTCATTTTTTCGGGTCCAGTTCTATTTGGCAGCTGGTCATCCCTCCCCCAACCAATGGCATCTTGAAGCGGTAGCTTTTCTCGATTTTAGAATTGCATGTCTCGAGAATTTCTTATCGAATCGTTCAATCCCATCGTTGAATCTATCTATCTATGTGAATGGGTACGGTAGCCGTCGAAACCATTGAAAGGGCCCAAAGAAATCGAAGAAGAACTGCATTGAAGATAACCTGCTATTTTGATCGATTGCCAAAAACACACAACAATTCCAACCACCACCACCATGACACAGCAATCTTCAAGGATACGATGGAGTCTTGCGAATATTCTGCTGCAGTGCTCCCTGACAATAATAATAGCAACTTTGTGGAATACCCCCTTGGTCCTTGGATTCTCCCTACACACAACGACCACTCCACCCCACAAGAGCAAAATTCCCGAAGAAGTCGTCCAACACCAACTCGATGCCTTTCGAGACTGTCATGTCGCTCAAGCATTCCAATACAATTCCCAAGCCAACCAAGAATTGACGGGACCTTGGCAATCCTTTGCCACATCGATCTCTGACAAAGCGTTCAAGCCCATTTTGGGACATGCCGAGTCCACCGTGTTAATGACCATTGCCCATGACGACGCCGATTATGTGTGTTGTTTGGTCAAGGTCATTCCCAGCCACAATCCACTCCCTCCAGCATTGCAGCAAGTCATTACAGAAACACGACGAGACGAAGGGTTTTTGGAAGAAGAAGTCTACGACGATGAAGAAGACGATGATGACGACGCAAGAATATACAATCGGTATCCCCCCTGTGTATTGTATTGGTGGGAAGTATCCAAACAATTCGAGGACGACGAAGAAAACTTTTTCTATCGCGTGGATAGCGTGTTGCCCGATGCTGAGGACCTGGAATTGGACTTTATGGAAACCACGCTATTTGCGGTTGGGGATGGCTTGGATGAAGATGACGAAGACGATGATCCATCAGGATTCTTCTTTGATTTGGGTATACTATAGCTCCAAGAAAAACAAGGGCTGGCTGCCTAGCTGGAACAAAGTAGGTGTCTTATTATTGTACAATTCAATTCGCAGCAAGTGTCAATTCCACAAAGACAGCACATGTGGATTAGCTATCCAGGAAAAGGGATGCCACAGGACGCACTACTGCGCTAACCATTCGAAGGAACACAACTCTGGCACCGGTAGGCGAAGATGTAATGTTCTACAAACAAATGCAAAAGATCACAAAGCTCAGTTTCGTTCATCTGCACGCAATTCGGAAATTCTATGGAGCAGTCCCAACAGACTGCATTTATTTGTTTCGTTTCGTCTCTCCAATTCCATGCCTTGCCCCACAAACTGGAGACCATCACTAAAAGGTGGCAATCACCAAATGAAAAAGATCTCATTCCCCAAAGCAGCACTCTCTATTCTCCGCTGACCGCTTTTTTGCCGTCACCGGTCCAAACTCGGTCGGCTCCATCTCTGTGATACGAGAACATAGGGTTCGTACCCTCTTCAAGCTGCTACTACCTGCGGTACTTCCGGTTTGACCAGGAGGCCCCAAACTTTGACTTTTCATGTCATACCGTAGAGGTCCCCACGCACTCTAGATAGTATTCACTCTTTGCCTTCCAGAGCGATTGAACCGTATCGTATGCAAAGGCCTTGCAAGCCGTGCCAGCACGAAAAACGGACAGTTTACGAGAAGGTCCTTCAAAGTCAGCAGTCCTCTGCAGTTATCTCCTAAAGTCACCGCATGCCTTTTATTCTATTGTTGCTTTTTATCACTGTCACCACCTGCATCATTATTCCAACTGGACGGATCGTACAAATCCAATCCACGTTGATAGAGTGACACCCGTTTGGGTCCAACTTTTTGATTCAATGCCCATTGCCATAGACCAGGCACGTATTGCTGCAGGTACATGCCCAGCAAGGTTGGTTGTTTGGCAATCCATGCTTCTTGTCCTTGCTGTCGTTTCTGTGCCATGTGACTCATGGCCAGGGACGCCATGCGTTGTACAGACATTTTGAAAGGACTCTTTTTCGTTTTGGTTGTGGTGTCATCAGTTGTTTGTTGTTGTTGTTGTGTTTGTTGTTGATTCCTTTTGTCTGGTTGGTTTTGGAAGAAAGGAGTATCAATCGGTCCTGGACATAGTATGTCCACTCGTAACCAGGAACTGCATTCGGCTTGCAAGGAAGAAGCATACCCGTGCAAGGCGTGCTTGCTGGCGGCATAGGAAGCCGACAAGGGAACCCCCATTCGTCCCGCCACGGAGGATGTCAGCACAATTTGTGGCTTGTCTTTATTTGTTTTGCCGGGTGCTAGTATCTTGTGCTGGAGTAGCAACTGTGTCAGCACAATGGGTGGAATGGTATTGACTTGAAACATGCGCAGTGTGGTAGCGGGATCGGTTTCTTGGACGGTGGAGAGGTGTCCTTGGCCTGCATTGAAAATGACACACAGGCTGTTGGCGTTGTTTTCATCATCTGGATTATTGCATAGTTCTGGAATCAACTGCTCCAGAATCAGTCGTTCCAGTTCCTGTGGCGTCGAGGTGACATCCAAGGGAATCACTGCCACTGGGCATGTCTGACATGCTTGAGCCACTTTGCGCAATTGTTCCCCATTTCGCGAGGACAAGATGAGCTTTTGACAGTACGGAGATATCTGATAGGCCAATTCTTCGCCAATTCCACTGGAAGCCCCAACGATCCAGACTGTTTTATTGGCAAAATGGTCATGATAGGCCCCTTGGGACGCTGTCCCTCTCCATTGGAGAAACTGGTGGTAGCAATACAAGGATGGATTGGCATCCATAAAGCCAAAGGCGGCGACTGCAGCACAAGCTGCTGCTGTCAGGGAATTGCGAAGCAACAAGTTGTACGGGATCATGGTCTGCTAGTAGAGCTGGCTTCAGGATGCATAGCGTTCATTCATTCATTCATTAATTTACATGGATGAGAAAGAGGGTGGCATCCAACTCGAGGATGGTTGGTGCACTCTCCACTCTCGTCTACACGGTCGCTCGGATCTTTGGATCTTTGAGTATTTCAGCCAGCAAAGCGGTTAGCTTTACCTTTTTGACCTTTGCTTCTTTGCGCAAGGAGCGCACCTACCAGGAACACGAATGATGAGCACACTTACCGGTAGGTTTCATTGAAATAGTTGCTCTGGCCGTATATGCTTGCCTCCGTATTCTCGAGAGAACAAACAATTTATTCATAGATTTGTGCTTCGAGGCGTTTCCATGAAAACCAGGGCCTTGAGGTAGAGTCTGCATCCACCGACTGAACACCCACGCCAACTTCCGTTTATCACTCCCCTACCGTGCTACCGGTACTCTAGACCCCCCTTCGATGAGTTGATGGGAGTTGCAATGGCGGTTGGTACAGATTCGTCAATAGTATCCAGGTCACTGATTGCCTCTGCCAAAGCCACGGGAAGATCTGACGCATCCACTGATTCTGCAGCACGACCACGGCGGATTGCTACTGGCAACCTAAAGCCTGGATTGCTAGTGAAGGTTTTTGTTTGAAAACGAACATCAATTTCATGGGAAACCTTCAGCAAATCACTGGCGTACCGGTAAGAATCACTAGCATCTTCAGGGACAGGTGGAAGTGTGACCAAGTGGTTTCCCGAGGATAACTGTTCCGCTACCAGTTGGTAGTTCCTCTCTGATTTGAGTGGATCTTTCTTTTCCTCTTTCAATTCCTTAGAACCTTTCTTGGCACAATAGGTATCATCCACAGCCACCTCTGATACCGTCAAATCTTTCGTAATTTCCTTTGTGTACTTGGGATTACCAAAGTTTGGGTAGGCAACGTCAACCCTCTCCACAAGGGTGACAGTGATCTCTTTGATGGTGGCCTTGCTATCGTTGACAATCCCCAAATCCAATGTAATCTGCTGTCCAGGAATGAGGATAGTATCATCTGTGTGGGCACCAGCCGTCACTTCTCCTTTGCTAACGTCCAGTGGTCCCCGAACCTTTTGAGTGTCTGGTCTGAAAATCTTGGGAACCACAATGATGGCTTTGGGTTTTGCATCAATTTTAGCAGCCAGCTGGCTTTGTGGTTTTGGAAGATACCTGATCCTTTTAGCACTGCTTCTACTTTATATTCGATTGTGGCCAAGCTTCCTTTTTCCTTGGCTAAAAAGGCACCAGGTAGCTCCGAGGGCAGCGGAATCTGGAAGGCATATTCATAGGTCCAGGCCGGAAGCAACCCAAAGTTGCCGTTGATAATGCGATTGACATCATGCATCAAAACGTCTTCATGGATGAGCTGCTTGGTCTGCTTCTTTGTCTCTTCCATCACAAATTCTCCCGTCGACACCGCGTGGGCGATTTGGATCTTCTCTTCACCAAGAAATTTGACATCAAGTTCCTTCGCTTTGGTATCCTTCTTTGCCTCGACAATCAGCTTGCCATTTAGCGTTCCTCCTGCTACTATCGGTTTAGCCGTCAATAGCTTGAAAGCAACCATGGCGTCAATATTATTCTGTTCTAGCGACTTGCATTGGCCAGGGTACAGGCAGGAATTGAATTGGCACCATTGCACCGGTACCGGTATGCAAGCTCGGGTTCGGACAAAAAGATGAGGTTAGAACGATGACGTTACTAATGGTGCGCCTGCCTTCACATGGTAATTAGGTGTGGCGGACCCCCAGCCGACTCAGAGATGATGGCGTGCTCAGACTCTCACATTTTCGCTCTTATCGCCAACGCCAAAGTGATGTTGAAGCACGAGCGATTTGATTTATGCCGTCGAGGGCTTGAAGCAGCAGAGCAAAGCAACCCGCTGCATCAAGGCATGCAAGGCAATCCTTGGCCCCTCTCTTCTGTCATCCGAAAGTAGTTGTCAGCTGTCGCCATGTCGTCGTCCGCTACTATCAACCTAATCGGATGTGCGGCGCCCCTCCTGAGCGCAAGAACTCTTTCGGATTGTCAATCGGCCGAAGATCCAACCTGCGAAGGAGGCGTTGCCGCAGTCGCTGCATTGGCTCGTCATCATGCCAGTACGGACAATGGTGATCAATCCACTCTGATCATTCCTAGGTTGGATCGTCAACACGAGTTTGTGCAATCGCACCCTCAGGGGTGGAACGTGAACACCCTCGTGCTGCATCAGCACTTTGGTTGGAATGTCGTTACATCCCACCCGTCCTTGGTAGAAGAGAACCAACAGCAGCAAGAGCTCACATTGGATGACAGCATTCAAGAGCAAAGTCCACCAATGGACTTGAGCGGTCTTCAGACGCCCGACATGCCGATAGTCATGACCAATGTAGCTTTGCCTCCCAGCAACTCTTGGCACCCTTACGTTCAGTCGGTACACTTTGACACTCAGACCAGGATTGCGATCATTGCATTGGAAGAAGAGTTACCTAGCGATACTGATGATGGCAACAGCATTAGTTGGTCCCAAGTAGAATCGGCGTGGAGTAGTCTAGATTTCATTGCCGCCGAAAACAAGCGACAAAACTGCGGCGATTCCATACCAACCACGACGACAACCACATCATTACCAACCGCAACAGCAACTCCACCAACAGCAACAGTTACCACAAACATCATCAGAACAAACACGACCAATGATACTCCATCGATTGAACAGGATGCGGATATCATTGTATCGCAAAGATCAGCATCGAACAACAACTGTTGGATTCCCATCATTTTAGTCTACAAGAATAGATCTTCCCAAGGCTTTGATCGCCTCGTTTCGACCGTGTCCAAGCATAAACACCCTCCCGCTCTGATTGTGGATTGGGAAGGTACCCAAAAGGCATACAACACTCCCAAGGTCACGGAAGAAGATGTTTGGATTGTCAGCCAACCCATGACATCCGATTCGTACATACAGTTCCAAATGACGATAAACGATGACACCCGTCGCATCGACGATTTGACCATTCTCAGTGAGGACTTGATGGAACCACTGCCAGCTGAATTCAAAGATTCACAATATGCCTCTGATATTGATTTCTTGCGGAACCTTGCCGATGAGGCCATTGCTCATGATCCCATTCTAGGCAATAGCAACGCCATGCCGCGGGCAGACACGGGGCAGTGTCGACACCAAGAATGTGAAATTGGAAACTTGTTCGCCGACAGTCTTCAATGGTGGCAGCAACAACAACAACGAAACAACGACGTCGACTCTAGCCCTGCACAACAAGTTGCCTTCTTGCGGGGAGATTCCATCACAGGACCAGGATGGTCGTTTGGTCAGATTCATATCTCGGATATCTGGAAGACATTACCCTATCCCGTCACCGTTTGCACAGGCAAAGTCAGTGGATTGTCACTCTTGCGTGTCCTGGATCATGCAGTGCGACACTCCGGGAGGGAATCGCCGCGGGGTGGCAACAACGCAACAACAACAGCTGCAGGGGATTTATCACCTTTCTTGCAAGTGTCGGGGTTGCAAGTGGTTTATTTCGGTTCATCGTCATCATCACAGGGGAGTTCGACGCGTTTGATCTCCGTCAAGGTCTGGGACCAGAATGAGCGTGCCTACGTGCCACTGAATCCCCTTCGTTTGTATCGGTTTACCACCGAAAGCTCCATGTGTGACGAGACGGAATCTTCATTCGCGTCGTTGCTCGGAGGTGACGACAATGATAGTGCGACACGGATGGAAAGCAAACTGCTGCAGAACATTGTTGGGGAATACTTACAACAGCTTGATGCAACGTACGTTCCTCACGTGGAGGACCGCTTGATGGAAAGCACCGATGAGAGTGCCAAGCCTCTAAACTTTGCTTCGACTGCCGGAGCCTGCCCAGAGGGAACGTATTGGGAAGGTAATGACAACTTGTGCCAATCATGCCCGAACACCAGAGATCATGTGACCATATCAGACAGCAGCGCGGAGTTCACTTTTCAACACGGCGATACTCTGGAACCACAAACGGGACGAGTGGTGATAGTGAACCGAGATTTGCACAACTATCTAGTCACATCACGAGATCTCCCACGTTGGTTCAAGTTCACGGGAGTGGACTCGTTGTCATCGTCACGTCAATCGCTTGAGGCATGGCCGGAGCTTCCTGTGAGATTGGCCAGTGGGGAGGAAATTGCCTTTGACTATGCTATCAATGCATCCAAGGTTGGCGTCGGCAACACCTACCACACGATTTTCTTCAACATATCTGCCTATCAGCCAATTTCAACCTGCGGAACAGAACCGTACACGTTGCCGTTGGGTACATTGGTGCAAGTGAATCCTCCTCCGGCTTCCGTGGGTCTTGGATATCACTCCTCGGCAGGGTTCACATTATTGGGCCTTATCCTGATGGGTTGCCTTGCTTTGGCGTCTTGGGTGTTCTTGAAACGAGAAAGATGGGGATATGGCACGCTTGAAGCTGGCAAACTGGATCACAAATTTTCTCCCATGCCGTTTCAACCAATCTTCCTGGTTGCAATATGCTTCGGAGTGATGACGATGGCCTTCACGTTGTTGGCATTGAGCATCGAAGAAGCCTGGCAGTGCTTGGCTGCACCGTGGTTACTTTCATTCGGCCTCACGATTGTGTTTTCTGCGCTGATATCGAACCTTTCGGCTGCTAAGAAGATGATTCTGGAACCACCCAACGAGCATGTAATCCAAATGTCAGCAAGATACTTGTTGAAGGCATTCGCCGCGCTTTTCATTGTCAATTTTGGAATCCTTTGTTTCATGCTTCTTGATCCTCCAACATGGGGTCAAAAGGCTGTTGACGACGAAGATTGGAAATCTTACGGGTTTTGCGACTACAGCGACCCGAATGCAAGCCTCCTTATCGCCAGTGGAGTTACCCATTTCTTGACACTTTGCTATGCTGTTTACCAGGCCTATCACGTGAGCAACATGAGCGAAGAATTTCAGGAACTAAAGACCATCATGGTTGCCCTTTGTGTCTGGTTCCAGGTAACTGTCATTGCCATTCCCACGTGGTTCACAATTGACAAGGGCAGCATGATTGGACAATACTACTTCAAAGTTGTCACCATCAGTACGCTCTGTGTGTCTATGTTGCTCTGCATATTCTTGCCCGTGATCACCAAGAAATTTGTCCCACCAGTGAAGACGATCGAAGAAAAAGATGAGGACTACCAATCCCTGTTTGGCGGGTTTATGGGGTTCAACCATTTTGCTGGAAGCGCTGTCAGCAACAGGGACATTCACGGGGCGCCCGATGAAGAGGTTCCGCAGGAGGAACAAAACCGTTGCCTCACCGACAAGGTTTGCTACTACCAGTAACGTGACGTCTGGGGGAACGGGGCCAGGGCAGCAAAAGGGAGAGAACGTTAAATTTTAATAATATAGAACATGCTACTACGAACCAAGATGCCAACGGTATTCCAGTTAGCCACTTGAACACTGTTATGTTATGTTTGGCTTTGGGGTGATGTTACTAGTTTGATCTATGCATGTTTAGTCGTCTCGTTGGCTTGTTGCAATACACGGCTCTTAGCCTTATTCGCGACTCGATCCTAGATAGGGTTTGAGTTCGACTCATGACTGAGTCTCTCGTGAATAGTCATTTGAGACAGGGTTCTCAATGACCGCTCTGGTCATACTAGGTTGATGATGAAACATCGCTCTAGATATTTAGCCAGCGTGGAGTACTTCCACGCTACTAGATCCATGCTAGACAAACCTTCTACGCGTTCCATTTTAGGATCGTGGAGAGACGTAGGATTACTACCGCAACCTACTCTATCACACTTTATAGTCTCCCGCGGGAGGCCAGATCTACGATCCCTTGATGATGATCTCTCTCGTTGATTAGTTTTCATAGCTTTCTAATCTCTCTCATAACTTTCATTCTCTCAAGCTCAAAACACTCGAAAGATCTTTACACTAGCTTTTAGCGTAGTGCATTTTGTTAACAAACACAATAGCTTTCAGCTACCCTCAACCTATTCCTTCACCATGAAGATGGCTCAAGGAAAGCATGCGT